AAAAAAAAAAAAAAAGAAAGAAAGAAAGAAAGAGAGGAGAAAGAGAAAAGAAGCAGAAAGAGATGAGAAAAGAAAGAAATCATTAGGCGTCCAGCAACTCGGTGGAACTCGAGAAATGCAATAACTCAAGGGATGCGCTCTTGACACCCGAAGCCAGCCCGCTTCTCTTGCCCTAGGCCAGAAACTGCACGCACCTGTCCAGGTAGGCGGAGTTGCACGAGCCCTCTTCCAGGAATTTGTGGCGAGGAAGGCTCCAGCCTGTCTGCCAGGATCAGGATCATCAGGATCGTCAGTTTTGTCTAGGAGAATTCTCGGCAGGGGTCATCTTAATGAGTTTTTGCTCAAACACACAGTGATCTCTTTGGCGTGCATGACCGAAATTCTCGGACGCGCTGCATATACCTGGACGGTGTGGCGTGCGATCGTCGTCGCGGTGACCGTTGCGCGCGAATCGACGTTCCGCGCGTTAAGAGGGCTTCTCGTGAATCGTATCTATGATCTTCCTGGCAAACGCGAAAGCATGCCGCGAGCCGGACGGTTTATTACGGGAGAGCACTTTTGTCGTGCATGAAAGATGCCCCGCTCGCCGCCGTCTCCGACATCGCGGACCACTAATTTTATTATCACCGTATAAATTTAGAGCGACAAAGACTTTATGTATATTCATTTCGGACGCTGGTACACGAAAGCGTAAAAGAGATATTACCAGCGCGATATCGCGCGGGAACACGCGTGCTGTGTGGCCAGATCGCGTTACGATCCGTACTCGGGACATTCATTTAAAACGTCATCGCTTCATAAATCAAAGCTCGCTAAGCGCGATCGCGCCCACTTCCACGTATCCTCCCCGTTCCGATCGTCGTTACTCACCGATCTTCGCATTGTATCACAGTTGTTTCTGAACTTTACTCACCGTAAACGCTCCTCTTGCATTTGCAATGAGATTGCTGGAGATCGTTCATCTCAGATTCTTCTTTACGATCGTCCGTAAACGAATCGACGCCTCCACCAATAAAGCATCCAATAAATTCGGAAGATTCTCTCCGCGATTTCCTTCCACGTGGAGTCGCGCAACAACGATAGAACCACCTGTACACGCGGGCAAAGGAGAAGGTTGCAAAGCAAATGATACACGGTGAACAGGGACGAAGAGAAGAAGATCGAAGCAACGAAGCAACGAAGCAACCAAGCCAGCCAGCCAGCCAGCCAGGCAGGCAGGCAGGCAGTCAGGCAGTCAGGCAGCCGGTTTGGAAGGCAGGCGCGGACATGTGGGCCGCGAGAGTGACGGATGGCCACATCGCATTTCGCGGCTCCATATCTCCCCGATTTCGCGGGTGTAATTCCCGTAAAGTCGTTTCGGGGCCCTGTTTCGTGGCCGGTGCATAGTCGCCGCGCATAGCCGCGTGGCCTTCCTCCATCGTTCACCCGCTTGGATCTTTCACCGTCTTTTTCTAACCACCGTTGGCCCGTCGTTGCCGCCGCCGCCGCCG